CCTCTTTTGGAAGACCAAACAAAGTAGTTTCGCTTTCACAACGAAACACACAGCGTCTCCACGACATGGCGGCGGCAACAATTCTACAGCGAGAATCAGTGTTACACCTTCTTTCTTTGCGTGAACATTTGGGCAGGGTTATGCAAATCTTCCCACACAGTGACGTAGACATGTGGGGGCGTGTTTAAACGAGGTGTTTTAGGAGAGCGTGGACGAGCCTTAACTTTTATAAAGAATATCTCTTTGGGTTTGAGACTTTAGTCTTTGCAACTTTAGGGATCTTATCTATTCACGAACAGCTTGTAACACTCCAAAGAGAAAGGAAAACTTGAAATCGCATCATATGAACCCTTTAAGTCATACACTCACAATACTCCCATATTAACCGTGTTCTTTCTCTTCTTTCCCTCAGGGGCATTAACACAGTGAAGTCAGCTGGGAACATTCTTGATGATATAGGGAACATGTTCGATGATCTTGCTGACCAGCTGGAAGCCATGTTGGATTGACCTACTGTAATTCCTACAGGTATAACCTTCGTGTGGGGCCTTCACATGCAGCATCTGGATGTTTCAGACATGCAGTGTCTAACTTCTCACACTTTGTTTACGCACTTCAGTGATCCTGCTTACAAGCATTGGTTTTACAGTTGAATTAAATGAGCTAATTTAATATACCAGTTTTAATGGACCGTGGTGCGTCTGTTGGCTGGATCGTGCCTCAAATATCCTAAAGATCCACTTGAGAACTTCAGCATATCTTTTACCAAACTATTGCTTTCTGCATCTTCGTCTCGCTCGGACAGGACGTATCTGCAGTAAAGATTGCAGAATGTAAGCACTTACTGTTCAGATCTACTGTACTAAAGCTCTTTCAGCAGAGACGCTTTAATTTCCTGTTGTGCTCACAGTTGGCCTCTAGCAAATGGATATACGGTGTAAAATCAAAGTGAGATACAACCTGAACTCGGTTTCAAGTGCTCTGAGATTCATCACTCTTCAGTTTTGTTTTCTGTAGACTGAAAGATCCTGTTCAAAAGCAATAATACAGCTGATCAAAAACATAACCAAGAAAATGCTTGATTTATTAATGACCCAAACCTCATGGACCAAGTATGTTTGACTGTACTGTAACTATAACTATTTAAAAAAAAAAGGTCCATGCCAACAGATTCAGTGTTGTATAGTATATTTTTAGTTTCACTGTACATTGTATGTTTCAGTCTTTGCATAAGAATTCAACTAGAGCTTAACATGTTAAGAAAATGACTTTTCTTAGCATATTAATAGTATATTTTGACAACCGTTGTGTTTGGGGAAAGAGAAACATTATATGGATTACATCTATTATATATTTTTGTACCAGAATGATAATTTATTGGGTTTGTCAGGTTAAAAGGGAAAGTCCCTCTTTGTGAATTCTGAAATTGAGAAACAAAAATAGAAATTGCAAAGCACTACATTTTTAGGCTCGGCTGACCAAAAGGGAACTTTTATTTTAATAAAATGGGGCCCATGTGGTTAATTAAACACAAAAACATCACCATCTGGTAGAATATACAGGATAAGAAGGGTTCAAATGGAGCATTCATTTCTGTGACTCTTGTGCACTTTTACCATCTTTATGTAGAGTATGCACTGTATATCTTTTATTGTACGGTTTTATTTCTGCATGTACTGTACACTGGCAGGACGACCAGCACTTGACTGAAAGAGACCTTTCTCTAACTGTTTGATGTAAACTACTTTGTTCAAAAGAATTGTATATGTAAAAACTGCGAGAAGACCATCCTGTTCTTGCATGCTTTCCTTTTGTAAGCAACAATCTGGAATTATTGGTTTTGTATTACGTGGCATAATGATATTTTAATGGACAACAGCACTATTGGTGCTACAGTATCATTTAAATGAGCACTGTGTACTTTATTTCCCAAGTTCATTCCTTACTGCAGTGCTTTGTGTGGCATTGCGCTACATTGCTTTGCCTGAGTGGGGCCACCAGTACCATACAGTAAGTAAAAATAGGCCTCTAATTCATTGATTTGAACTACTTGAAGTATTATGTTTAATAAAATCGTCACGAGATAAATCCTCAGACTACTCATGTCAAAGTGGCTCTAACATTTGTTTTATTATATAGTATCAGATCATTGAAGCTGTCGTTTGAACTCATGGGATAGAAATGATTTTTGGTTTTATTGTAACGACAAAACACCAGAAACAGTGGGAATAAAAATTAAAATGGGTTGATTTAAACCAGACGCACCCGGGAGGGAGAAAAGTGCAGAAGAAGAAGAAAGTATTCAGCCGTTGAGCCAGCTGTCCTGACATTTGGTGTAGTCACTGATCTCCTCTGGTTTGAACCACAGGTTGATCTCGCCATTGGCACTTTCGACAGAATCACTGCCGTGAATGATGTTCCTGAAGTGAAATATAATATTAGCAAAAACAAGTGCAGATAAATATGTACCAGACAAGTTTGGGGTTTATAAGAATTTGTAATGTTTTTGAAAAGTCTTTTAATGCTCACCCAGGCTTGCTTGCGTTATTTATTATAAAAAAAAAACACACCGTAAAAATTTATTATTGTGAATAATATATATATATATATATATATATATAAGGGGTGTAACGATTCATCGATATGAATCGATACGATGCATCGATGCCACACGTAAAATATAGATATCTGCAGTATAAATAGGCACCTTTATTTTGGCACGGTCCACATTTTCACATAATGTCCGTCTATGCATTACTGCCAACGCGTGCATTCTCATTCAAACTCACGTATCAGGACTCGATATAAGGACTGCCCGAAGGCACAAGGTGAGCATAAAAGACGCTCGGGATTGTT